TGCATGCATCCTAAATGGCACCCTATTTCCTATTTAGTGCACTACTTTTGACCAGGGCCCACTATGTGGGGAATAGGGTGCAATTGGGATACAGCCTGTGTCTCTTGATGTATGGCTGGCTGAGCCCAAGGTTCCTTCTGTCTTTGGGTTTCAAACTGTTTGTTTTGTTCAGAGGGAGCAATAGGGATACAGTCTGTGGTCATGGGTGCACCTCAGCCACGCTCAAGGTCCTAAACGATATTATGACCGCGATCGATAAAAAACAGTACTGCGCAGCCGTCTTCATCGACCTGGCCAAGGCTTTCGACTCTGTCAACCACTGCATTCTTATTGGCAGACTAAATAGCCTTGGTTTCTCTAATGACTGCCTCGCCTGGTTCACCAACTACTTCTCAGATAGAGTTCAATGTGTCAAATCGGAGGGCCTGTTGTCTGGACCTCTGGCAGTCTCTATGGGGGTGCCACAGGGTTCAATTCTCGGGCCGACTCTATTCTCTGTGTATATCAATGATGTCACTCTTGCTGCTGGTGACTCTCGGATCCACCTCTATGCGGACAACACCATTTTGTATACATCTGGCCCTTCATTGGACACTGTGTTAACAAACCTCCAAACGAGCTTCAACACCATACAACACTCCTTCCGTAGCCTCCAACTGCTCTTAAACACTAGTAAAACTAAATGCATGCTATTCAACCGAACGCTGCTTGCACCCGCCCACCCGACTAGAATCACTACTCTGACCTAGAGTATGTGGACAACTACAAATACCTAGGTGTCTGGTTAGACCGTAAACTCTCCTTCCAGACTCACATTAAGCATCTCCAATCCAAAGTTAGATCTAGAATCAGCTTCCTATTTCGCAACAAAGCCTCCTTCACTCATGCTGCCAAACATGCCCTCGTAAAACGGACTATCCTACCGATCCTTGACTTCGGCGATGTCATTTACAAAATAGCCTCCAACACTCTACTCAGCAAATTGGATGTAGTCTATCACAGTGCCATCCGTTTTGTCACCAAAGCCCCATATACTACCCACCATTGTGACCTGTACGCTCTTGTTGGCTGGCCCTCACTACATATTTGTCGCCAAACCCACTGGCTCCAGGTCATCTATAAATCACTGCTAGGCAAACCCCTGTCTTATCTTAGCTCACTGGTCACCATAGCAACACCCACCCGTAGTCTGCGCTCCAGCAGGTATATCTCACTGGTCATCCCCAAAGCCAACACCTCCTTTGGCCGCCATTTCTTCCAGTTCTCTGCTGCCAATGACTGGAACGAACTGCAAAAATCTCTGAAGATGGAGACTCTTATCTCCCTCACTAACTTTAAGCATCAGTTGTCAGAGCAGCTTACCGATCACTGCACCTGTACACAGCCCATATGTAATTAAGTCCACTCCAACACCACTCATCCCCATCATTGTTAGTTGTATTAGCTAATTTGCACCCCAGTATCTCTATTTGTACATCATCTTTGACATCTATCATTCCAGTGTTAATTACGAAAGTGTAACTATTTTGCACTATGGGCCTATTATTGCCTTACCTCCATAATTTACTACATTCCGCACACACTGTTATATAGTTTCTGTTTGTCATTTTTGACTTTATGTTTTACACCATGGTACTCTGTGTTTTTGTTTTATCGCACGGCTTGGCTTTATCTTGGCCAGGTCGTCGTTGTAAATGAGACTTGTTCTCAACTGGCTACCTGGTGTAAATAAAGGTGAAATTCCCAAATTTTTAAAATGACAGGGAGGTGTGAGGGGGGAGCTTAGCATCACACATGGAGGTGTGAGTGGAGGGATGGGTATTGTTGGGAAAACACTTGCACACACTAGCTACACTTTTCATTTTTTTCCCGTCAGTTACCCTTCGAAATATGTAATAGAACACCAGATTAAGACAACCAGACTTCATTTAAAAAAAAACTTGAGTCAGTAATTTGGGCAGTGTGCTCCTCCAGTGTTCAGGGTTGTGGCCTGTCCACGATGGCCGGAATAGCGATCACCCCCACCCCCCAAATGCAAATTCAAACATCTCCCTGATTAGCATAAATAGGCAGGCTATCTGGGCAAAGTGATGAAAGAGTAAAGACGCCATCGGCATGGTGATGTGTTTTTAAAAAACAGGTCTCTGAATTCAAGATGATAACTTTTGGTAACAGTAACCAGGTCTCCATCCAACCTTCTATGTGAGTAAAGTACATGACGGATTAAAACATTTAACTACAGGCCTGATGGAAACGTTCCAAATGTCAACAAAACAAAATATGCTAGACAAGGTGGGATCTTTTTGTGTCGGTAAAATGAATTATGCGAGGAATGTTGGTGGAATCGCTTTTTATGCGCATATGTTGATATAATAGCCATCGTATCGACGTAAATTTGGGAGTCACGCGATGACATGTTGTGTGGTCCTCCCACTGGGGACTCATCAGGAAAGCATGCAGTTTATCAGGCTAACAGATGAAATAAATTATGATTAACTTTCACAGGGTGGTGAAAGTCGAAAGTGATGAGCTTGACGCTCCTTTCCAATTAATATATCGAGGGTCTTATTCTGGTGACGTGATCATCGATGCTCGGCTGCCGTTTGACAAATACAAATAATCTCGCTCTTTTGTTCTTAATAATAATCTCATCATGTAGGCTATACACGCGCTGTAGCCAACAGCGCGCAGCAGGTGCCAATACCAGAGTGGGTATTATATAACGCAACATTTGTTGTGAGAAAACCATCAGTAGAGTTGAAAATGCGATGGAAACCCATTTAACTTGTATTTTTTATTCGCTACATGGGAATTTAATGCAAAAGGTTATTTTTATGTGCGCTACATCATCACACACAGCCTTTTATCCGCAACAAGTCAATTTGATGGAAACACATCTCTGGAGGGAAAATGCGGAGTTTGTCATATTCCCTTGAAAATCTGTCGTCAATTGGATGGAAACCTAGCTAGTGTATTATAGGGATCACATATTATGCGCTAATTTGTAGTTTATAAGTATAGAAATAGCTTATTAGGCCTTTATCCTATTATTGGCAATTTTACTAGGCCTTGAATTGATGACAAGAATGAATTTGTAACAGTGTAGCTTAGTCCACTTTTATGAAATCAGTTTGTGATGAATGGTGATGGTTTCTGAATAATGTAAGTATGGACCTGTTTCACTCCATTAAGATTAAAAAAAAAAAAAAAAAAAATGTAAACAAGTGCATAGACATTTTAGTCACTGTTTTTAAATGTAGCGTAGTAAAAAGCAATAATTGAGTTCACAAAAAACAAAACACATTTTAACTGCCAAACCATGCCTTGTATTTCTAAATACACATGACTCAATTAGCCTAATCATAGCCTGGCTTCTGAGCTTCCCTCTTCCTTAGTCAACAAACCTAGTGCTGACCATGACCATATCAGAGCCAATTTGAAGGGCCTATTTAATTATCCCAGTAGTGCATGTGTCCAGCTCCAGTGATGCAGCCCATATCAATTACAGGAACGTGCAATATTAAAGGTGCAATATGCAGAAATTGCTCTGCCATTTCCTGGTTGCTAAAATTCTAATAGTTTGTTCAGTTTATGTGACAAAACAAGCAATGCAGAGAATCATTGTACCATGTAAACTGCTGTGAAAAATATTTTAAAAAGCCAAAAATATTGTATTTTCAGCTTGTTTGAAGCTGATCTACAAAACCGAAAGTAGAAGACTACGTAAAACTAAACTTAAGAATGGGAAGCATAGAAATGGTGCACATAGAACTTCTTAGGCTTGCTTTCATTGAGAATGACAGATCTATAACTCACAATTCTATGTGAATTTGGTCGGGTCGCCCAAAAAGTTACATATTGCAACTTTTTAAATAATATTTTACTACAAAAAGTAGCACTGCATTAGTCCACTGTTGATATGGTTCCAGAAAAATGTGCATGTCAGCAGTAATGTCAGTAAAGTTGTAACTTTCAGTACAAATCAAAAATTGTGATGACATACTAAAATATGTTTTAGAAGAAACATATCCCGTTAACAGGCCAAGACTCTCCCTGTGAAATAACATCCATTTTATGAGCCGCCAACGTGAGCCACCATGCACTAACAGGCAAAAGCTAATTCCGCTAACTGTCCTTGCCTCAGTGCTCTTCTTAAGACTCTGAGAGCCAGATGAGAGGGGAGAATGTATTAGCTAGGCCATTAGATGAGAACGGATAATCCCTCTCTATATCAGTCATCAGTATGCACCCCAGCTACAGTTCATTATTTACTGCTCTCCTACCTTAAACTCGTTAGGCTCTTGTAGCCGATGTTGTACAGCGTAATTCATAAAACGGTCAAAGTTCAGGGATGCGAACAAATGGTGTTCACGGACGAATGCAGTTTTGTTTCTTAGACTAGATAGAGGCGTGATGTATTATCTATTCTGTGCTTACTCCACTGTAGGGGACATTGCTGAGTTTGTTAGGTATAAGCCATTGTTTTTCCAGCGAGGAGTCCACAGGGAGTTCGAGGCTAAAAGTGAGGGGATCGGAAACCAAGCGTGAAAGTTGGGGTCCTCTGTTATTTTTTGTGGAATTCCAGAAGGGACTGATTGTAGCAGAGACTCGGGAAGAGTTCAAGTTATTTGTTGAAGTATTTGGGATTGTTTGAATGAATAATTTTTAAGTGCCACTTCTGTGTCCCTTTGATGGAAACCTCCTGATTTAAGTAATAGCATTCCCCTTCAAACAAACAAAACAAATATGACGTGCCGAGTCATCGCATTTGGGTTGTTATACATTGACTTGAGTGTCTACGTCCCAAATGGCACCCTATTCCCTATATAGTACACTATATATATATAGTACACTCTGGTCAAAAGTAGTTCATGATACAGTAGGTAACAGGGTGCCCTTTGTGACACATAACACCTTTGTTGTCTCAGACGTTCGGGTGCGTTTTCTCTGTATTATAACACAAGTCTCTCTCCCACCGTTGCAGCTCCTTCGACAACAGCGGCAAATACCAGCAGCAGTCCCTGGGTCCCATTCAACAGTCCACCATCCTCGTTGTGGATCCCGTCAAAGGCAACGTACTCAAGGCCTCCGGAAGAAACATGTAAGAAGCGATAATGGCCACTTTAGTTACCACCGCTGTGCAAACGAGGGCAATTAGGCGTTTTGAGACATAATAGTGGCCTTACGTAATGAACACACAGGTTACGTCCCAAATTACACCTTACTCCCTATATAGTGCACTACATAGGGAAGAAGGTGTCATTTGGGACGTAACCTCAGTCCGACTCCTAGGAAGTGATGTTGTTGTCTTAAGGAGTGTTTTCTCCGTGTGCTCGGCAGGTTTTACTTGCCTCATGGAATCACCACGGACAAGGACAATAACTACTGGGTCACGGACGTGGCTCTTCATCAGGTGAGAACCACAGTGTTCACATCCTCACTGGCCTTCATCACGTAAGAACCATCCTCACTGGCCCATGGTCTTCATCACGTAAGAACCATCCTCACTGGCCCATGGTCTTCATCACGTAAGAACCATCCTCACTGGCCCATGGTCTTCATCACGTAAGAACCATCCTCACTGGCCCATGGTCTTCATCACGTAAGAACCATCCTCACTGGCCCATGGTCTTCATCACGTAGAGCTCTTCTTAATGGAGATAGATGGAAGTAGATGGAACGCTTGGATGAGCATAACCTCTAGATTCTAGAAAAGTGGGTCATGTTGAGTGTGCTTGAGCTTTCCATTACCATTTCTTATAAAAAAAATAGTACAAAACTCAACAAATGTTAACCTTGGTTATATGCGTTTGGCGCGAAAGTATCATACTTCTCATGTGTCTGATTGAGCCAGAAAATGCTACCATATGCTATGAAAGGGGCTTATTTGTCATGTACCAAGACCCACTAGAGACAAAACAATGAGTTGTACAGTTTTCCATTTGGCTTTAGTGATTATAAGGCCAGGGAGTTTTCCCGAGAACATGACCTAACCAGGAAACACTCTGGACCCTATATAATAAGTCAACATACTTCCGTACCCAAATGGCACCCTGTTCCCAAGTGCACTACTTTTGAGCAGTGCCCTATAGGAATAGGGTGCCATTTGGGACGTAACCTTTGACTTTCGTAGTGTACAACATAAGCTGTCCCTCCACCTAGGTGTTCAAACTGAGCAGCGATGGCCGGGACAAGCCCCTGGTGGTGCTGGGAGAGGCCTTTGAACCAGGAAGTGACAAAGAGCACTTCTGCAAGCCCACCGATGTGGCGGTGGACCCCGTGACCGGGAACGTGTACGTGTCGGACGGATACTGCAATGCCAGGATACTCAAGTTCTCACCCGAGGGAAAATACCTGTCACACTGGGGAGCAGGTTTGTAGTACATGCGCGTGTTCGCACTCATGCACTCACCACACACACACACACACACACACATTCAGACACAGACATGCACACGCACGCATGAACACACACACAATTGGAGATTTATTGGCAGTTTGTTTGAAGCGAAGGCCATTTCAGGCTCAGCTTGACAAAATGTATTTGAATCTGTATTGATTTACCTGTAATATCATGCCAATATTTTCTGCTGATGTGGCTGCTGTGCAGTCCTCTTCATTACCCCTGGTGCAATACATCACAACGGAGCCTTTACAGTAAATCATTCAATAGGCCTTAGAGGACCTGCAGTGGTAGAAGACCTCTACACCTCTAACTAGTGGGAGCACAGGTTACATAGAGGATCTGGAGTGCCTAGTGAAATATCAAATACACTTCTATCCACACACTCCCATCTTATTCTCCCATTTCTCCTTCCAAATATTCAAACACAATTGTGCCAAAAGAAACTGGGTATATATTCATGTGTGTAGTGAATATATTAAGATGGGGGGGGGGGGGGGGTTCTGCTGGGTCACGGATTCCGTGGTTAGGAACATTGTTTTGCACATCTTGTTGGTCCCAAGAACATTCACCATGTTCTAAGTAGGTAACACCAGCATAGAGATAGATAGATAGAAGACTCGTCTTTGTATTTGTGCCATAATGGTGTCTGCGACAGCATGGGCAGCAGGTTATAAAACTGGTTATATCTATCTAGAGTCCTCTATCTATCTCTATGGTAACATCACCAAAGGTCTGGGCCCCAATGTTCTAAGACAAAATGAATCTAAGTGATTCACTCCCTGGGCCGTGGTCAAAGACAGTTTGTTCCACAGTTGGTCTTTGAAATGTTCTGGGTCATGTTCACTAGGCATGAAACTCAAGAAAACTGTCTGAAACGGGAAGGTACTAACTGAAGTTGGACGATAAGAAGCGGTTGTTTGCATTTTTCCATTTAAACACCGTTTTGCTACGGTTTGCCCTAATGAACACGACCCTGTTCTTCCCCCTCAGGATCGTCAGACAGAAGGAGAAGGGTCCAGTTCCGAATCCCCCACAGCCTGGTGTTCCTGCCTGACAGGCGGGAGCTGTGCGTGGCCGACAGGGAGAATGGACGCATCCAGTGCTTTGTCGCTGAATCCGGGGAATTCGTCAAGGAGATCAAGAAGCAGGAGTTTGGAGGGGAAGTGTTTGCCATCTCCTACGCACCTGTGCATGGTGAGTCCGGTGTGGGTTTAGAAATAGAATAGAACACCTATTATCTCTATGGTTACACTAAATCTATGTGTTATATCTCTATGGCAGGGATGGGCAACTGGAACCCCCCCCCCCCCCTTTTGAAGGCTGTTTCCACAAAAATATACAATAAAACATATATATATTTTGGGAGGGGGAACTCAGTCGGGGTCTCAACTGACTGAACACACAAGGTGCAATTTCAACATTTGCGTGTGCATCAGCAATTTTTCTCTTGTTATGTCAGTCACCTGATAGTCATGGCAAAATGTGTACAATTGCAGCAAACTTGCTTTAAAACGGAAACATTTTCTCTACACTTTTTTTCTGTGGCCCCCACCCCCCATCAAGTTGCCCATTCCTGCTCTTTGGTTATGGGTGTAGAATAGCACACCAAATCTATGTGTTATATCTCTATGGTTACGGGTGTAGGATAGCACACCAAATCTATGTGTTATATCTCCATGGTTATGGCTACATCCTATTCACAGGGAATTATTGAAACCATACAGTCTGTTTTATTAGAGGAAAATTAGACACCAACATCTTAGAGAAATGAAACACCCACATCCCCATAATAAACATCCCCATAATAAACCCACTTCATTTCATCAGCACACAATAAGGTATTTCCTAGAGCCAGATAATTACACCAGTGTTCTTTGACACAAACGCTTTTGTGATGCCGACTTTCATGCTGCCTCATATACATGCAAGTCTTCAAAGGGGAAAATATTTATGTGCCTCTTCCCTTAACCCTTGTGTGTGTCTGTGCGCACCTTATGCAAATGTGTGTGTATCCAGGTGGTCTGATCTACGCGGTGAATGGGGAATCTGCATACGGGCGCTCTGCCCCTCTCAAAGGCTTTGTGATCAATTATTCAACAAAGGAGATCCTGGATGACTTCAGCCCAGAAAACGCACAGGTTGGTTACGGATTGGAGGGAGGGCTCTGCTGCAAAAGCAACTGTTTTTCTACAAACCAGAGCAGCAATAAATAACAGCATTGAACATCCTTCTGATTCAATCACTGTGTGCCATTAATAGGGAAATAAATAAAGAGTTGTCTCTCTGGTCTAATGATTTCTCGATTTGGGCTTTTCATAACAAAGATGCTATACATTTAGTTGCTTGTGGAGTAGCTGCTAAACAGCTAGTGTATTTCAGTGTACATTTACATTTAATCATTTAGCAGACGATCTTATCCAGAGCGACTTACAGTAGTGAGTGCATACATATTCATACTTTTTCGTACTGGTCCCCCGTGGGAATCGAACGAGCGCCATCTTTTACCAGCTGAGCCACACAGGACCAGTTGTAGTGATATCTCTAAACAGGCTTGTACAGTACGTCTTCACTACCTCCAGGATAACGACCCTGGACAAATACAATCAAGCTTAAAGCCGCAATATGTAACTTTTTTGGGCGACCTGACCAAATTCACATAGAAATGTAAGTTATAGATCTGTCATTCTCATTGAAAGCACGTCTAAGACGCGGTAGATATGTTCTATGTGCGCTATTTCTATGTTTCCTGTTCTTATACGTCGTTTGTGTCTTTTTACTTTTGGTTTTGTACACCAGAGAAGATGTTTCACAGCGGTTTAGATGCTACAGTGATTCTCTACACTATGCATTGCTTGTCTCATCACAAACTGAAATTAGGCGAACTATTAGAATGTTAGCAACCAGGAAATGGTGGAGCATATTGCACCTTTTAACTTGGATCAACAAGGACAGTTATGGCCTTATGTTGATGGGGATAACCTGCTTGACTGAGGAGGCTCTCCGGACACAAACCACAGTTGGAGCTCTGTACCAAGCAATCACCTTAATTACTATTTATGTTGCCTCAATCACTATCAGGCACTTCACACACCAGTCATAGATTGGAATGATCTGAAATCTTATCTGGCTATTTGAGCCCTGGAGCAAGCAAATAAAATAGTTATTGATCTCTATTGACGGTACGTGATGTGTCTAATACAGTAAATACAACAGCTGTTTTTTTTTGTTGTTGCTAGAACTCAAACGAGATTCTGCCTACAAACAATTTCTACATGTGATAGTAGGGATCAGACTTAAAGGGATAGTTCATCCAAATTGCAAAATTGCATATTTGTTTCCTGTAAGCAGTCTATGGAGAAGGTTAGACAGCAATCCATGCTTTGGTTTTGTCCATTGACTGCTTACAGGGTAAGTAAACCAATGTGAATGTTGGGTGTGAATTGGGTGAACTTTCCCTTTAAAAGCTATGGTCTTACATTGACTCCACTGATTGTGAGATGGATCTTAATTTCACTACAGGCTCCTCTCTGACTACTTGAGCCACTTAAAGTGATTGTATCCTCTTCTTCCAGGAGAGTGAATCATTCTTCCCATCCCTGTCTGGCCAGCCCAGATGCATGACTACCTGATTTAGTGCCTCTGAGCTAATCAGATGCCAGCAGGGAATTTCATTAAAACGGCAATAAAATAAAGATCTGCATGCCGTATCGCTTGGGGTTGGTTTCTGTTTGCCAGGTTGAGTGGGGTTTGCCAACTACCATCCGTTTTGTCTTTGTCGTCTATCTTGGATTGTAAACTATGTGGACGGGTACAGGCCTATTGGTTTATTAACTGGAAACCTTGATTTATCTCGGTTTAGATTGAACCTTGATTTCTCGATTTAGATTGAACCTTGATTTATCTCGATTTAGATTGAACCTTGATTTATCTCGATTTAGATTGACTGTTACTTTATCAGTGAATCTATGCATATGACTTGAAGAGTCACGATATGTGTTTACATTTGGATTACTTGAAGTTTCATCTCATAGACTCAAGACATAACGAGTATTTAAGTCTTTCATAACCTAGACTGTGTTAATGTGATTGTTTTTGAACAGCTAGACTAACTACAGTGCGTCTTCCCTATGTTTTCAGGAGTTTGGAATGCCCCACGACATTGTTGTAACCAAAGATGGGCATGTCTTTGTGGGAGATGCAGCCACAGACTCCGTGCTAAAGTTCTCCTCTGACAGTAAGTAAACTTTAACCAAAGTATTTTAATTTGATATTTTTATTCCAGATTATCCAGGATGTCTCATTAAGAAAGTTTAATTAGATTAACCTTTCAACTATGAAATTAAACCTCTTAGATGTTAAGAACCCCATATGGGGCACTTTGAGCGGTTCTGGACCTGTTCCGAATGACATTTTGGTGTTCAAAGCGCTCTGTGAACGCCATAGGGTCCGTGCCTTATAGTGCCAGAAAGCTCCATCTGTCTGCTCTCCGCTTCCACTCTCCCAGCTGAGCTGACTTGAAGTGTCAGGTTTCAGGCCCTAAATTTGCATAGGGAATGACGTGTCACATTTTCTGGCCTATCCAGACAAATAATTTATTTTGTCTGGATAGGCCAGAAATCCCCATCAACATGGCTCACTCGCTTCTTCTGAGCGAGTGAGCCAAGCCTGGGAGACAGCAGATGAACGGTGACAGTCTAACGAGTCCAGACGTTGTGGTGTCATCTCACTGTGATATTCTCAGCAGGTTTTTATAGGTCTCAACATGAAAAAATACTAAATCATTTCCTAGAATTAGACCACTTTCTCTTGGTCGCAGATGGACGAAATCACTTTGTGCTTAAAGCAGAGTCTGCACACATTTGAATGGTGTTTCTGCGGCGCTCAATGGGACGTTTAGGAGAAAATTATTTGATGTGCCAATATTGTAGTCGCCAAGTATGATCATATTTATTTTACGGTTATAAGAAATGTGAAATCTTATAGCAAGTTGTTTATGATTTTGATTGTTACAATATTTAGAAAACATTTCAGTCATTTCAAGCCCTATTGCCCCACTTTTATTTAATTGGGGAAAAAAATATGATTTTTCATATTTTCATAATATTTGTACAACGTACTTGAGCTTGTGCCCTCAAATGTGAATACACCTCAGTAATTTATAACTATTTTTACCAGAAAGGGGCGTTTCAGACCTTTCTAAAACTATGCCACATTACCAGTTATTGTTTATGGCCATCTCATGAAAAATAATTACGTTTAGGTATATCTATTTAGGTATAAATCTAAATGTTGCCCTATCATTCAAATGTTATTAAGGGATTCAAGGCATTAATTAGTGGACTATTAGTGACATTAAAAATAGTTATATCCAATTTGACTCATCAGACTACTTATGGAGCTACAAATTAGTATCTTATTTATGAAACGTAAAATACACTGAGTATACCAAACATTAGGAATACCTTCCTAATATTGAGTTGCACCCCACTTTTGACCCTCAGAACAGCCTCAATAAGTCGGGGCAAGGTGTCGAAAGCATTCTACAGGGAAGCTGGCCCATGTTGACTCCAATACTTCCCACAGTTGTGCCAAGTTAGCTGGATGTCCTTTGGGTGGTGGAGCATTCTTGATACATATGGGAAACTGTTGAGTGTGGAAAACCCAGCAGCGTTGCAGTTCTTGACACAAACCGGTGCGCCTGGCACCTACTACTATTATTACAAAATAATCACGGTTTTCGATTTCGGTTTCGATCATAAAAAAAAAAAAAACATTAAATGCGCTATGCATTATGTGGGTTGAATGCTGTAACAACACAGAATAAAACAATTAATAAAAGTCCCATGATGGTAGTGACTGCCCATTACTGCTTATCACTTATTAACCATCATTTATTAAATATTTAAGTTGTTGTGTATATTACATTTGTTTGATTTATTATTTTATTCCAAGTCATCATCTCATCTCTATAGAGCTGCTGCCTATGCTGTCTGACTAAATCACTATTTTAGTAGTTCTTTAAAGTAAATAAGGCATACTTCTGTGACCAACTATCAATCACTTAGATCATGTATTTTCAGGTAGACATACCTCGCGAAGCAACAGCTGCTCAATATATCACCTCACGACCTTCTAGGCAGAGTTGCAGAGAAAAAGCCATATCTCAGACTGCCCATCTTAATCTTCTCTTTTTATTGGCCAGTCTGAGATATGGCTTTTTCTTTGCAACTCTGCCTAGAAGGTCAGCATCCCGGAGTCACCTCTTCACTGTTGACGTTGAGACTGGTGTTTTGCGGGTACTATTTAATGAAGCTGCCAGTTGAGGACCTGTGAGGCGTCTGTTTCTCAGTTGTGCACCGGGGCCTCCCACTCCTCTTTCTATTCTGGTTAGAGCCAGTTTGCGCTGTTCTGTGAAGGGAGTAGTACACAGCGTTCTACGAGATCTTCAGTTTCTTGGCAATTTCTTGCATGGAATAGCCTTCATTTCTCAGAACAAGAATAGACTGACGAGTTTCAGAAGAAAGTTATTTGTTTCTGGCCATTTTGATCCTGTAATTGAACACACAATTGCTGATGCTCCCGATACTCAACTAGTCTCACGAAGGCCAGTTTTATTGCTTCTTTAATCAGCACAACAGTTTTCAGCTGTGCTAACATAATTGCAAAAGTGTTTTCTAATGATCAATTAGCCTTTTAAAATTATAAACTTGGATTAGTAAACACAACGTGCCATTGGAACACAGGACTGATGGTTGCTGATAATGGGCCTCTGTACACTTATGTAGATATTCCGTTAAAAATCAGCCGTTTCCAGCTACAATAGCCATTTACAACATTAACAATGTCTACACTGTATTTCTGATCAATTTGATGTTATTTTAATGGACAAAAAAATTGCTTTTCTTTCAAAAACAAGGACATTCCTAAGTGACCCCAAACTTTTGAACGGTAGCGGATGTAGAATATTGGCCTGTTGCAAACTACGACTCCCTACCACATCGCACTGTTTGGGTTTGATCGGATTGATCTCTACAGAAACTGAGCATCGAGTTCACCGAAGAAAAAAAAGTTTTTTTTTCAAAATGGAATTCAAAAAATTGCTCAGCACTGACAAGTGAAATCAATAAGGGATCATGGCTTTCATCTGGTCAGTCTATGTCATGGAAAGAGCAGGTGTTCTTTAATGTTTTGTATACTCAGTGTAGTGTTACCACATCAATTGATAAACCATACATTTTCTATTGACAAAATTGGAAATGTTTTTTGATATTATTGCATTGTGTCAATACAGTTCAGAAATATTTCTAATTGCCAAAAATGTTTTTACTGAAGAATGTGTTTGTTTCATTGTGTTTTGCTTTTCATATTTTGTTTGCTTTTCATGTATAGTGTAATTGATGTGTATATAGATAGGCTATGTATAGTGTAATTGTTGTTTATTGATGTGTTCATGCAGGGCTCATCTGCAAAAGAGACTGTGGTCTCCCTGCTTAAATAAAGGTTAAATAAAATTAACATCTGTCATATCAAAATGGATCCCTCTTTCACACATTGCTACAGAGTGCTTTTTTAATAGAAATTATATGAATTCTGTAATGTTGGCGCTAACCTCACAGAGCCATGTTTTTATGTACTTGAAAGAACATTCTACAGCATGTGGCGAATCAGTGAGTGATCTGTGACAACTTCAAAATGATAGGCCAACGCTCTAGGCCACTGCATCGCCATCTTATGTAATGTTTCTGATGTAAGGGGACTATGAATTGCCTGATGTCATTCAAAAAATGCCTTTGGAACACCAATTCAAACAGAGTAAATGCACGGTTAATCCCCTTGAATGTAGGTGACTCACCGATTCAGTTCTCTATTGACAACACAGTATGCCTAGAACGATTAGACGTTTTGTACATTTAAATGCAAATGGAATAGAAAGTGAAAAGCAATTGCAATCAAATTGAAAGCATTGCATTTCACACATTCCTAATGAGAAGCTCTTGATTTTGTGCCAGCAAAACATTGGGTTTGTTGAAAAGGTCAGCACCTTGAACTGTGTCGAGGCAGAGTGTTCATAATCTTATGTAATCGACACCATTGCAGTGCATTGGTGCAATGTGAGCCTTTATGAGATAGACTTGCAATCATTGTAATGAAACCGCTAAATACACCATGATGATGATGAGTAAACACAACTGTACAATCTGTCTGTCTGGATGTATCTTTATTTAGTAGCAACTGAATCACGATTCCAGTCAATGAATCACTCAGTCACATCAGTCCTTGACACCACTGTCTCTCACTTTCTCCAGAAGCTGAACATCGCTCTGTTAAGAAAGGCGGAATTGAAGTACAAGAAATTGAAGGTAGGCTAATCTTTCTCTTCAGTCTTATTGCAAGCTGGACATTTTAGTAGTTTGAGGTCCACTTTCACTTTACTTAAACTCTAGGGATTTTTGATTGACTTTAAATGTTTTACATTGTGAGTGGATATTTGCTTCACAATAGTGATTGGTGTGGCTTCAAGTCAAATTGTCTATACTGTGCATTGTTTGAACACCCGCTCTAGTCTGTGTGAGAACCTATTGCAAGTTGATTGCAGAGCTAAAGGCTGACATTCTCCGGAGACTTCTGTTATTTTCTACTGAAAGATTGCAGTGCCTAATTTCATTTGAGGAAATGGAGCAGTGTGTAGACTTTGGATGTTTGAAACTTGATATATAGGCTATAAACCTTTCTGAAAGAAGCTTGAGCATTCTGTGGTAAAAATTAGCGCAATAAGTGCTTGGAATTTGGAGTATGTGTGAAAAGTCTATTATATCGAAGTTGTCAATCAGAAAGATATACAACATCTGCATTTCCCCCTCTCAGAAGGCAGTAATTTAAAATATGTTTGACTTAATAATAACGTGCACCCATTGATTCTTGAAGAACAACATGAATGCATCATGAGCTTAGTTCAACTGTCGTACCCCATCAGAATCCAAAATATACCATGTTTTTTAACAAAATGTTTTGTAAACATTGTAATTGTAAACAAACCCTGTATAGCCTCTAAACTTGTTTAAAACTGTACTTTTTCATGGATGGTAAGTCCTTGCATCCATCGCTCGGTCTATACATTTCAGAGTGGTTGAATTTCTCCGGTTGGGTGACCACTTTGTTATTGTTTCCAGTAAATCTCATGATTTAAAAAATATGACTTATCCTAATGTCATTCCATGAGCACTACAGGTATGTAATACAAAACCAGGAGGAATTTGCATGTGAAAATGTCATGGAACAAAATGCATTAGCTCACTGTTTTGTGTTTACGCTTTTGTTAGCGATTTACTCTTTGCATTTACAGAAAGATTGTGGTTTTATTAAAACAATCTATAGTGAGTCATCTTTGTAATTTTCTGTAACTACCTTTTGTTCACCTGTGAATGGACACTCACCACTTCCATTCAAACCCACTTCTCTCTTAGAAACAGAGACGATAATCCAAACTCGCCTGAAGCCCCAGCACGAGATAGAGGTAGCGTTGGCCAAGGTGCAGACACCCGTAGCAACTCAACAGAAGACTGCAGAGCCCGTCCAGGAACAGCCCCAAAAACCGCAACAACAACAAGAGGAAGAAGACGATAAGGAGAAGACCCTAGCCAAACAGAGTGCTCAGGGCGTGTCTCCGGCGGTTATCACCACCCTGCTGCTCATCCCCTTAGTGGTGGTCATCTCCATAGGGGTCTTGATTCGCTACAGGAAGACCAGGCTGTATGGAGGTACGGTATTTGACGCAACATGGCTGCAGCCATGGAAATAGAATCCATAGAAAGGGCTTGGAACCGCTAAGCCTTGCAATTTGACTGGTAAACTCGTTATGCCGTCATTGACTTGAATGGGGAGGCCCATTCTATGGATTCTGTTTCTATACCAGCAGCGTTGATAGTAGGGAGAGACACTGGGCGCTGCTGCCTAGAGCATAGTGGGATAAAACAGAATTTCTAAACCTTTTTTATGATGGACATTTTTATAGATTTTTTTTTTACACACAAAAATGAACAGTAACAAACAGAACAGACACAACAAACATAGAGAATTTCAAATCCTGTGAAATGCTCTAATTGAGTGCCTCAACCAACCTCCATCTTGTATTGAAGATATTCAGCGTGTCTTTCATCATTGTTTCAGATGGATGCGAGGTAAAACTGGAACAGACCTCGTCCGGAGGAATCTTGGGAAAACTCAGAGGTATGTGTCTGTGAGATACTCTTATTGATGTATCCTGTGGTGAGATTAAAAACTCAAGGTCATCCACCATGCAGTAGTAGTCTTCCACCATGAGACTTCCACCATGCAGTAGTAGTCTTCCACCATGAGACTTCCACCATGCAGTAGTAGTCTTCCACCATGCAGTAGTAATCTTCCACCATGAGACTTCCACCATGCAGTAGTAGTCTTCCACCATGCAGTAGTAGTCTTCCACCATGCAGTAGTAGTCTTCCACCATGCAGTAGTAGTCTTCCACCATGCAGTAGTAGTCTTCCACCATGCAGTAGTAGTCTTCCACCATGCAGTAGTAGTCTTCCACCATGAGACTTCCACCATGCAGTAGTAGTCTTCCACCATGAGACTTCCACCATGCAGTAGTAGTCTTCCACCATGAGACTTCCACCATGCAGTAGTAGTCTTCCACCATGCAGTAGTAGTCTTCCACCATGCAGTAGTAGTCTTCCACCATGCAGTAGTAGTCTTCCACCATGCAGTAGTAATCTTCCACCATGCAGTAGTAGTCTTCCACCATGCAGTAGTAATCTTCCACCATGCAGTAGTAGTCTTCCACCATGCAGTAGTAGTCTTCCACCATGAGACTTCCACCATGCAGTAGTAGTCTTCCACCATGCAGTAGTAGTCTTCCACCATGCAGTAGTAATCTTCCACCATGCAGTAGTAGTCTTCCACCATGCAGTAGTAGTCTTCCACCATGCAGTAGTAGTCTTCCACCATGAGACTTCCACCATGCAGTAGTAGTCTTCCACCATGCAGTAGTAGTCTTCCACCATGCAGTAGTAGTCTTCCACCATGCAGTAGTAGTCTTCCACCATGCAGTAGTAGTCTTCCACCATGAGACTTCCACCATGCAGTAGTAGTCTTCCACCATGAGACTTCCACCATGCAGTAGTAGTCTTCCACCATGCAGTGCAGTAGTAGTCTTCCACCATGCAGTAGTAGTCTTCCACCATGCAGTAGTAGTCTTCCACCATGAGACTTCCACCATGCAGTAGTAGCTTCCACCATGCAGTAGTAGTCTTCCACCATGCAGTAGTAGTCTTCCACCATGCAGTAGTAGTCTTCCACCATGAGTCTTCCACCATGCAGTAGTAGTCTTCCACCATGCAGTAGTAGTCTTCCACCATGCAGTAGTAGTCTTCCACCATGAGTCTTCCACCATGCAGTAGTAGTCTTCCACCATGAGACTTCCACCATGCAGTAGTAGTCTTCCACCATGCAGTAGTAATCTTCCACCATGCAGTAGTACAGTGAGGGAAAAAAGTATTTGATCCCCTGCTGATTTTGTACGTTTGCCCACTGACAAAGAAATGATCAGTCTATAATTTTAAAGGTAGGTTTATTTGAACAATGAGAGACAGAATAACAACAACAAAAATCCAGAAAAACGCATGTCAAAAATCTTATAAATTGATTTGCATTTTAAGGAGGGAAATAAGTATTTGACCCCTCTCAATCAGAAAGATTTCTGGCTCCCAGGTGTCTTTTATACAGATAACGAGCTGAGATTAGGAGCACACTCTTAAAGGGAGTGCTCCTAATCTCAGCTTGTTACCTGTATAAAAAGACACCTGTCCACAGAAGCAATCAATCAATCAGATTCCAATGTGTTATAAATTGATTTGCATTTTAATGAGGGAAATAATTATTTGACCCCTCTGCAAAACATGACCTAGTACTTGGTGGCAAAACCCTTGTTGGCAATCACAGAGGTCAGACGTTTCTTGTAGTTGGCCACCAGGTTTGCACACATCTCAGGAGGGATTTTGTCCCACTCCTCTTTGCAGATCTTCTCCAAGTCATTAAGGTTTCGAGCCTGACATTTGGCAACTCAAACCTTCAGCTCCCTCCACAGATTTTCTATGGGATTAAGGTCTGGAGACTGGCTAGGCCACTCCAGGACCTTAATGTGCTTCTTCTTGAGCCACTCCTTTATTGCCTTGGCCGTGTGTTTGGGTCATTGTCATGCTGGAATACCCATCCACGACCCATTTTCAATGCCCTGGCTGAGGGAAGAGGTTCTCACCCAGATTGACGGTACATGCCCGTCCATCGTCCTTGATGCGGTGAAGTTGTCTTGTCCCCTTAGCAGAAAAACACCCCCAAAGCGTATGTTTCCACCTCCATGTTTGACGGTGGGGATGTGTTCTTGGGTCATAGGCAGCATTCCTCCTCCTCCAAACACGGCGAGTTGAGTTGATGCCAAAGAGCTTGATTTTGGTCTCATCTGACCACAACACTTTCTCCAGTCTCCTCTGTATCATTCAGATGTTAATTCGCAAACTTCAGACGGCCTGTATATGTGCTTCTTGAGCAGGGGACCTTGAGGACGCTGCAGGATTCAGTCCTTCACGCGTAGTGTGATACCATTGTTTCTGGTGACTATGTCCCAGTCCTTGAGTATGAAGTCCTCCTTGTTCTGGGCTGATTCCTCATGTTTTTAACAAAATGTTTTGTAAGGCATTGTAATTGTACCAACCAAACCCTGTATAGCCTCTAAACTTGTTTAAAAATGTACATTTTTCATGGATGGTGAAGTCCTTGCATCCCAATCGCCGGTCTATGACATTTCAGGTGGTTGTAATTTCTCCGGTTGGGTGGACCACTTGTTATTGTACTTCCAATACATCTAATGATTTAAAATATGACTTATCCTAATGTCATTCCATGAGCACTACCGGTATGTAATACAAAACCAGGAGGAATTTGCATTGTGAAAATGTCATGGAACAAAATGCATTAGCTCACTGTTTTGTGTGTTACGCTTTTGTTAGCGATTCCTACTCTTGCATTTAACAGAAAGATTGTGGTTTTTATTAAAAACAATCTATAAGTGAGTCAATCTTTGTAATTTCGTAACTACCTTTTGTTCAAACTGTGAATGGACACTCACCACTTCCATTCAAACCCACTTCTCTCTTAGAAACAGAGACGATAATCCAAACTCGCCTGAAGCCCCAGCACGAGATAGAGGTAGCGTTGGCCAAGGTGCAGACACCCGTAGCAACTCAACAGAAGACTGCAGAGCCCGTCCAGGAACAGCCCCAAAAACCGCAACAACAACAAGAGGAAGAAGACGATAAGGAGAAGACCCTAGCCAAACAGAGTGCTCAGGGCGTGTCTCCGGCGGTTATCACCACCCTGCTGCTCATCCCCTTAGTGGTGGTCATCTCCATAGGGGTCTTGATTCGCTACAGGAAGACCAGGCTGTATGGAGGTACGGTATTTGACGCAACATGGCTGCAGCCATGGAAATAGAATCCATAGAAAGGGCTTGGAACCGCTAAGCCTTGCAATTTGACTGGTAAACTCGTTATGCCGTCATTGACTTGAATGGGGAGGCCCATTCTATGGATTCTGTTTCTATACCAGCAGCGTTGATAGTAGGGAGAGACACTGGGCGCTGCTGCCTAGAGCATAGTGGGATAAAACAGAATTTCTAAACCTTTTTTATGATGGACATTTTTATAGATTTTTTTTTTACACACAAAAATGAACAGTAACAAACAGAACAGACACAACAAACATAGAGAATTTCAAATCCTGTGAAATGCTCTAATTGAGTGCCTCAACCAACCTCCATCTTGTATTGAAGATATTCAGCGTGTCTTTCATCATTGTTTCAGATGGATGCGAGGTAAAACTGGAACAGACCTCGTCCGGAGGAATCTTGGGAAAACTCAGAGGTATGTGTCTGTGAGATACTCTTATTGATGTATCCTGTGGTGAGATTAAAAACTCAAGGTCATCCACCATGCAGTAGTAGTCTTCCACCATGAGACTTCCACCATGCAGTAGTAGTCTTCCACCATGAGACTTCCACCATGCAGTAGTAGTCTTCCACCATGCAGTAGTAATCTTCCACCATGAGACTTCCACCATGCAGTAGTAGTCTTCCACCATGCAGTAGTAGTCTTCCACCATGCAGTAGTAGTCTTCCACCATGCAGTAGTAGTCTCTTCCACCATGCAGTAGTAGTCTTCCACCATGCAGTAGTAGTCTTCCACCATGAGACTTCCACCATGCAGTAGTAGTCTTCCACCATGAGACTTCCACCATGCAGTAGTAGTCTTCCACCATGAGACTTCCACCATGCAGTAGTAGTCTTCCACCATGCAGTAGTAGTCTTCCACCATGCAGTAGTAGTCTTCCACCATGCAGTAGTAGTCTTCCACCATGCAGTAGTAATCTTCCACCATGCAGTAGTAGTCTTCCACCATGCAGTAGTAATCTTCCACCATGCAGTAGTAGTCTTCCACCATGCAGTAGTAGTCTTCCACCATGAGACTTCCACCATGCAGTAGTAGTCTTCCACCATGCAGTAGTAGTCTTCCACCATGCAGTAGTAATCTTCCACCATGCAGTAGTAGTCTTCCACCATGCAGTAGTAGTCTTCCACCATGCAGTAGTAGTCTTCCACCATGAGACTTCCACCATGCAGTAGTAGTCTTCCACCATGCAGTAGTAGTCTTCCACCATGCAGTAGTAGTCTTCCACCATGCAGTAGTAGTCTTCCACCATGAGACTTCCACCATGCAGTAGTAGTCTTCCACCATGAGACTTCCACCATGCAGTAGTAGTCTTCCACCATGCAGTAGTAGTCTTCCACCATGCAGTAGTAGTCTTCCACCATGCAGTAGTAGTCTTCCACCATGCAGTAGTAGTCTTCCACCATGAGACTTCCACCATGCAGTAGTAGCTTCCACCATGCAGTAGTAGTCTTCCACCATGCAGTAGTAGTCTTCCACCATGCAGTAGTAGTCTTCCACCATGAGTCTTCCACCATGCAGTAGTAGTCTTCCACCATGCAGTAGTAGTCTTCCACCATGCAGTAGTAGTCTTCCACCATGAGTCTTCCACCATGCAGTAGTAGTCTTCCACCATGAGACTTCCACCATGCAGTAGTAGTCTTCCACCATGCAGTAGTAATCTTCCACCATGCAGTAGTACAGTGAGGGAAAAAAGTATTTGATCCCCTGCTGATTTTGTACGTTTGCCCACTGACAAAGAAATGATCAGTCTATAATTTTAAAGGTAGGTTTATTTGAACAATGAGAGACAGAATAACAACAACAAAAATCCAGAAAAACGCATGTCAAAAATCTTATAAATTGATTTGCATTTTAAGGAGGGAAATAAGTATTTGACCCCTCTCAATCAGAAAGATTTCTGGCTCCCAGGTGTCTTTTATACAGATAACGAGCTGAGATTAGGAGCACACTCTTAAAGGGAGTGCTCCTAATCTCAGCTTGTTACCTGTATAAAAAGACACCTGTCCACAGAAGCAATCAATCAATCAGATTCCAATGTGTTATAAATTGATTTGCATTTTAATGAGGGAAATAATTATTTGACCCCTCTGCAAAACATGACCTAGTACTTGGTGGCAAAACCCTTGTTGGCAATCACAGAGGTCAGACGTTTCTTGTAGTTGGCCACCAGGTTTGCACACATCTCAGGAGGGATTTTGTCCCACTCCTCTTTGCAGATCTTCTCCAAGTCATTAAGGTTTCGAGCCTGACATTTGGCAACTCAAACCTTCAGCTCCCTCCACAGATTTTCTATGGGATTAAGGTCTGGAGACTGGCTAGGCCACTCCAGGACCTTAATGTGCTTCTTCTTGAGCCACTCCTTTATTGCCTTGGCCGTGTGTTTTGGGTCATTGTCATGCTGGAATACCCATCCACGACCCATTTTCAATGCCCTGGCTGAGGGAAGAAGGTTCTCACCCAAGATTTGACGGTACATGGCCCCGTCCATCGTCCCTTTGATGCGGTGAAGTTGTCTTGTCCCCTTAGCAGAAAAACACCCCCAAAGCGTAATGTTTCCACCTCCATGTTTGACGGTGGGGATGGTGTTCTTGGGGTCATAGGCAGCATTCCTCCTCCTCCAAACACGGCGAGTTGAGTTGATGCCAAAGAGCTTGATTTTGGTCTCATCTGACCACAACACTTTCTTCCAGTTCTCCTCTGTATCATTCAGATGTTAATTCGCAAACTTCAGACGGCCCTGTATATGTGCTTTCTTGAGCAGGGGGACCTTGAGGACGCTGCAGGATTTCAGTCCTTCACGGCGTAGTGTGATACCAATTGTTTTCTTGGTGACTATGGTCCCAGCTTCCTTGAGATTATTGACAAGATCCTCCCGTGTAGTTCTGGGCTGATTCCTCACCGTTCTCATGATCATTGCAACTCCACGAGGTGTGATCTTGCATGGAGCCCCAGGCCGAGGGAGATTGACAGTTCTTTTGTGTTTCTTCCATTTGCGAATAATCGCACCAACTGTTGTCACCTTCTCACCAAGCTGCTTGGCGATGGTCTTGTAGCCCATTCCAGCCTTGTGTAGGTCTACAGTCTTGTCCCTGACATCCTTGGAGAGCTCTTTGGTCTTGGCCATGGTGGAGAGTTTGGAATCTGATTGATTGATTGCTTCTGTGGACAGGTGTCTTTTTATACAGGTAACAAGCTGAGATTAGGAGCACTCCCTTTAAGAGTGTGCTCCTAATCTCAGCTCGTTACCTGTATAAAAGACACCTGGGAGCCAGAAATCTTTCTGATTGAGAGGGGGTCAAATACTTATTTCCCTCCTTAAAATGCAAATCAATTTATAACATTTTTGACATGAATTTTCCGGATTTTTGTTGTTGTTATTCTGTCTCTCACTGTTCAAATAAACCTACCTTTAAAATGATAGACTGATCATGTCTTTGTCAGTGGGCAAACGTACAAAATCAGCAGGGGATCAAATACTTTTCCCCCTCACTGTAGAGGAGGTTCTCCCACAATAACGTGATTTGTACTGAAGTAAGTATTGGATTCACACACACCACCACTCTAATCCCATTCCACTACCTTTTCAGGCTTTTTTAAAATTATTATACTTACAAGACCCTCATGCTTGATTGAGAGAGCTGTTTTGTCTTGTGGTAATATGGTACCTGCCTGTATTTCCTTAAACCTGTTAATTTCGCAATTCATATCATTGAGAAATAAATATATTTTTTTAAAATCTTTTTTTGTTAGTAGGTGCCCAACATAACACCAGGTGGTGGTGAGTTGAACACAGTCACTCATATATAGAGGTTTATAGAGCCCGTCTGCATTCTTGATTTCTGTAACTGTTAGCTTACGTGTGTAATATTGACATAAGCTCTGAAACACTTGTTTTGCAAACATGGTCCTATTTTATCAATTGCTGTGCTGATCAAATGGGCAGTTTATTACCTCTGTCAAATGAATATGTAGCTTAAAGTGTATGTGTGTGTTTGTATTTATTTTTGCAATAAAGATGGTGATGCTACAACAATACACATTTACAATAGGCCTATATCTAAAAATACTGATCAGAATTGGATCAAAGTGTCTTCCGGATGTGATGTTTTGCGCACTGTTCTCCCAATCTCTGCAGAGGGCATCAGAGTATAATTATTGTATTGCATTGACAGGCACGAGCCTGTGAATGTTGACCTGTTTAAAGGTCTTACTCACCTCGTCTACAGAGAGCGTGATCAAAAAGTCGTCCAGAACAGCTGATGCTCTCATGCATGTTTCAGTGTTACTTGCCTCGAAGCGAGCATAGAAGTAATTTAGCTCGTCTGGTAGGCTTGTGTCACTGGGCAGCTCGAGGCTGTGCTTCCCTTTGTAGTCTGTAATAGTTTGCAAGCCCTGCCACATCCGACGAGCGTCAGAGCCGGTGTAGTACGATTCGATCTTAGTCTTGTACTGACACTTTGCCTGTTTGATGGTTCATCAGAGGGCATAGCGGGATTTCTTATAAGCTTCCGGGTTAGAGTCCCGCTCCTTGAAAGCGGCAGCTCTACCCTTTAGCTCAGTGTGGATGTTGCCTGTAATCCATGGCTTCTGGTTGGGGTATGTATGTACAGACGCTGTAGGGACGACGTCATCGATGCACTTATTGATGAAGCCAGTGACTGATGTGGTGTACTCCTCAATGCCATCGGAAGAATCCCGGAACATATTCCAGTCTGTGCTAGCAAAACAGTCCTGTAGCTTAGCATCTGCTTCATCTGACCGCTTTTTTACTGACCGAGTCACTGGTGCTTCCTGCTTTAGTTTTTGCTTGTAAGCAGGAATCAGGAGGATAGAATTATAGTCCGATTTTCCAAATGGAGGGCGAGGGAGAGCTTTGTACGCATGTCTGTGTGTGGAGTAAAGCTGGTCTAGAGTTTTTTTTCCCCCTCTGGTTGCACATTTAACAAGCTGGTAGAAAGGAGGTAAAACGGAATTAAGTTTCCCTGCATTAAAGTCCCTGGACGCCTCTGGATGCGTGTTTTACTGTTTGCTTATGGCCGTATACAGTTAATTGAGTGCGGTCTTAGTGCCAGCATCGGTTTGTGATGGTAATTAGACAGCTACGAAGAATATAGATGAAAACTCTCTTGGTAGATAGTGTGGTCTACTGCTTATCATGAGATACTCTACCTCAGGCGAGCAAAACCTAGAGACTTCCATAGATATCGTGCACCAGCTGTTGTTTACAAATATACATAGACCGCCACCCCTTGTCTTACCAGAGGCTGTTATATCCTGCTGATACAGTGTATAACCCGCCAGCTGTATGTTATTCATGTCTTCGTTCAGCCGCAACTCGGTGAAACATAAGATATGAACGTTTTTATTGTCTCGTTGGTAGGATATACGTGCTTGTAGTTCGTCCACTTTATTATCAAGCGATTGTAAGTTGGCCAATAGTATCGATGGCAAAGGCAGATTAGCCACTGGTCGCCGGCTCCTTACCAGGCACCCCGATCTCCTTCCACGATATCTCCATTTCTTTCTACTGCGAATGATGGGGATGAGGGCCCTGTCGGGTGTCTGGAGCAAATCACTCTTGTCCGACTCATTAAATAAAGATTATTCATCCAGTTCAAGGTGAGTAATCGCTGTTCTGATGTCCAGAAGCTATTTTCGGTCATAAGAGACGGTAGCAGCAACATTATTTACAAAATAAGTTACAAACAATAAGAAAAAACACTCAAAATAGCACTGTTGGTTAAGAGTCCATAAAACGGCAGCAATCCCCTCCGGCGCCATTACAGGGGATCTGTTGTTGTCACGTTCTGTTGTTGTCACGTTCTCTTGCATAATTCAACAAGTCTGTCAATAGCAGGATACCCTCTGTTGAAAAATAAAAACGCCTGGCTCTAGATAACACCTATCTAAACATACTTTACATGTTTGCGAGATCAGACATAATATCATATAATATAATCTGAGTGTTCTTTTTCGGAAGTTGCTTTCATTTCAGTGCATCTAATTTGTAAAAAATTCCAACTGTAGTAAATGATTACTTTTTTCAATTCCACAAAAAATGAATATCCATCTTCTCTTTCTTGTGATGTAATTGTTGAGACGGTGCGTTAAATCCCTAATGAAGCTTTAGCGTTCTTATAGATTCAAGGGTAAGACAATGTATTCCATTGAGCCCATTTCAGCCATTACCGGGGTGTGTTTGACAGGTCATTACAAACATTTCCACAGTCGTAACGTTAACGGGGGAAAAACGACAGGCTCAAGCAAGTGTATGAAACAGTCGCAGGAGTAAATTAAAGAAATCAATCCAGTGAGATTCAAGTGACAAGTGGATTTTACACCCCTCAAACACAGTAAATAGATGTCTGAAAAAAAAACAGCTCCTCAGGTGGGTGGGGCATGCGCGTTGCTAAGTAATTTGTCGGAGGAAATGCTGTCCGACGGACGACCGATGTCAGCTTGCAGGCATTTGGCCCGCCACAAGGAGTCGCTGGAGCGCGATGAGGAAAGCCCCGCCAGCAGTGCAGTGCTTTTACACCACCGCGCCACTCAGGAGGCCATTGAACATGTTTTTAGTCCAGGAGTATGTTCAATGTGGGTCTGTGCAGTGCAACCTCCACTTAGTTGCCATAAAGCTCTCTGAAATGAGTCATGCCATCTCTTGGTCTTTTCTTTGATGCTTCAAGCTCACAGCATGGCTGGTCGGAGGACTTTGTCACGTGCTGTAGAAATGATTGACACCATCTGTTGGCCAATGAGCAGAGTTGGGATCAAATCCATCAGGTCGGATCAAGAAGTGAGATCAATTTGGATTGCTCGACATTTGGGGTGCTGGACATTTGGGGCGCTGGACATTTGGGGCGTTGGACATTTGGGGCGCTGGACATTTGGGGCGCTGGACATTTGGGGCGCTCGACATTTGGGGCGCTGCTCTGCTGTTACATGTGTGTGCCAGGGTGGCGATAAATTCCCTCTTGCAGAGCCCATCACCACCCTTAACCTTGGTCTTACCCCTAACCAGTGGACACACCAACAGTCCTTTCAGAAACTCCCTGCCCTATTGTGAATTGGAAGTACACATGCCCAGCCGAATGAAAAACTGCTGTGCACAGAGAGAGTCAAGGTTAAGCTCTCTTTGGCTAAGTGCAAATGGGCAGCCGTCCAATATAAAAAATGCAGTGCATACGACACGATCCCGACCAGGGAATCTCCAGAGGGCATGACGAGACGGTACAGATATGACCAATAAATGTAATTTACAATACTCTATGACCTGTTACTCTCCGATTGACGTCAATGGACTCACATAATGGTTGTGTCCCAAATCGCACCCTATTCCCTATATAGTACACTACTTTTGACCAGAGCCCTATGAGCTTTGAATAGGGTGCCATTTGTGACACAGCCAATGATAAGCAGATGGTTCACTGACTACAATGCAACGCAAGGGGAGCAATGATGATGTAGCATTCAGAGAGGTGTCTAGACTCTAAAGGGGTTTGATAGAAGTCACCGTGGGGGTCCACTGCTCCCAGGCAGATGGTGTCATGAATAGGGCTGTTGAGGTGTTGATACCGGTCTTATTGTGACCAGGGAAGATATGTTGTTAGATCAGACAAACTGGTGGTATTATGCAACATATCTCTGTTAGTCCTTTACTGTGACTATGATGAATGAAATACAAACTCCCCTATTAAGCAGCGATAACCCTGATTCTGTTTCAACTTTGGTTTTTGAATGCTAATGAGCCTTTGTGATGATATCTGATTGGAATTAGTCAAGCAAAACAGTACCCTGTGCCGTGCCACAAAGAGAATAGATAACACATGGGAGACATTTATGATATCTCTAACAGGCAGCTGCACAGACTTAGATCAAGCATATTCCTGGACTAAAAAGCACTTTCAGTGGACGATTTTCCATTGAACATGCTTTTTTAAAGGGGCAATTTGCAGTTCAAACAATAACAATGGTTACTGGAGGAAACAAATGGGTCTAGAGAAAACGTAACCACTCTCAAATTCATAGACAGAGCAATGGATGCAAGGACTGACCATCCTTTTTATCAACATTTATTTTTAACCATGTTGTGAGGCTATACTGTGTTGGTTTCAAATTACATTGTTTACAAACAATGGAGTTAAACAAGCTTTCCCCTTTAAGTCCTGTTTTAAGTCCAGTAGGTTCAACATGGGTTTGTCTTAGGTCAGAAAAGCGCTTTCAATTTCTCCAAAGTACCGTTTTTTTTGTCCTGGAGTAGGTTCAATCTGGGTATGTGCAGTGCAGTGACCTCTAAATCACGATAAAGCTCTTTGAAATGGGAAAAGACTCACTGAAATGGGAAAAGACTCTGAAATGGGACGTCTTTGTAATCTTTTCCCCTCTTTGATGTTTTCCTTCTCCCACAGGTAAAGCTGCGGGCGGTCTGAACCTGGGCAACTTCTTTGCCACTCACAAGGGCTACACCCGGCAAGGCTTTGACCGTCTCAGCACCGAGGGCAGCGACCAGGAGAAAGACGACGAGAACGACACTGACTCGGAGAACGAGGAGTACTCTGCCCCGCCTCCCCCCGTCGGCCCCGCCTCCTCCTCTTAGGACCCTCACCACCCCCACCTCGAAGCCGTCCCACCAAATGCCAACCGACCCTTGGCTCCCGTGGTCAGGATGTACTATAATCCTGTGTGTATCTATGTTTGTGTTGGCTGCGAATCATTCCTATTTATTTGTGCAAAAAAAACATTCTCGATACGATGTGCCACTTTCTTTCTTTGTGAGTTAATGGGACTAGAGATTTTTAAGTAAGAGAACACTGGTAGGTCGAGGAGTGATGCTTTTTAGAGTATAATTTTAACGGGAAGGAGGAAAGCGAGGGGTAGTTTTATTTTTATAATCAATTATCGACATAAATCTCTTCCACTGACAGTACTTAATCAACCAGATGCTTTAATGTTATGTTTTCAGGTTTTTTGGTCCAGAAACTTTGGTTGATTACTTTTATCTGTACATTTGTGCCTTTTTAATTATGTATTTTGCCTTTCTGCAGCACCTATATTATTACAAATGTGCCACATAATGGAAAGAGCTGCTGCTACTGTCAACTGTACTTAGGTTTCATTGTATCGCATTCAAGAGAAAGGATAAAAAATATTATTATTATCATGTATCTAAAGCTGTATTTACGACATTTTCCAATCAGATGTAAGCTGTGTCTGATATTTATTGTGACATACTGAGGTTTTATTGCAAGAATACTATTTTCAGTAACAATGTTATTTGTGTAATAAAGTGTCTGCAAAGCATAACCTTATCAAGTCATTCACTGAGCAACAACCTTAAGGGAACGTTCCGGTTACTTTACCAAGGGGTTGCAACGTTCCGGTTACTTTACCAAGGGGTTGCAACGTTCCGGTTACTTTACCAAGGGGTTGCAACGTTTCCGGTTACTTACCCACGGGGTTGCTCAACGTTTCCGGTTACTTACCAAGGGGTTGCAACGTTCCGTTCTTCCAGTTGCAACTTCCTACCAAGGGTTGCAACGTTCCGGTTACTTTACCAAGGGGTTGCAACGTTCCGCCGTTACTTTACCAAGGGTTGTGCAACGTTTCCCGTTACTTTACCAAGGGTTGACACACGTTCCGGTTACTTTACCAAGGGGTTGCAACGTTCCGGTTACTTTACCAAGGGGTTGCAACGTTCCGGTTACTTTACCAAGGGGTTGCAACGTTCCGGTTACTTTACCAAGGGGTTGCAACGTTCCGGTTACTTTACCAAGGGGTTGCAACGTTCCGGTTACTTTACCAAGGGGTTGCAACGTTCCGGTTACTTTACCAAGGGGTTGCAACGTTCCGGTTACTTTACCAAAATTCTGAAGTTTTCCAGTTTAACTGACTTATCCTTTTCGTTAAATATTTCTGAAGAACGTTTCAATAATCGAACTTATTCATTGAGAATGGGGTTGACATTGATTGGAGTTGTAATATTTTGGGCTTCAGTCAAAAGGACACCTAGTGGGTGAGCTGTAGAATATACGTTTGGTTGGAGGGACACCTAGTGGTGAGCTGTAGAATATATTACAGTGTCATGGGGTCTGCCTCTCAATGGTCTGTAGTGGTCCTATCCTAGTCTCCTGTTCTCTACCTGCATTGATATTATACGCTGAGTGTACAAAACTTTAAAGAACACCTTCCTCATATTGAGTTGCTGCACCACCCCCCCTTTTGCCCTCAGAACAGCCTCAATTCGTCAGGGCATGGACACTACAAGTTGTTGAAAGCGTTCAACAGTGATGCTGGCCCATGTTGACTCCAATGTTTCCCACAGTTGTGTCAAGTTGGCTGTATGTCCTTTGGGTGGGTGGACCATTCTTGCTACACACGGGAAACTGTTGAGTGTGAAAAACCCAGCAGCGTTGCAGTTCTTGACACAAACCTGTCGCCTGGCATCTACTACCATACCCTGTTCAAAGGCACTTCAATATTTTGTCTTGCCCGTTCACCCTCTGAATGGCACACATACGCAATCCATGTCTTAAGGCTTAAAAATCATTCTTTAACCTGTCTCCTCCCCTTCATCTATGCTGATTGAAGTGGATTTAACAAGTGACATCAATAAGGGATCATAGCTTTCACCTGGATTCACCTGGTCAGTCTATGTCATGGAAAGAGGTGTTCTTAATGTTTTGTATACTCAGTGTATAACAGAACAGGTGAAAGTTTAGGGTTGTTTTTCAGAAATTCAAGTTGGACAATACTTGGAGCGAACCAGGGTTTCTGGAAAACCTGGGAATTTTCAGAAAGTTATTGGATATTCCTGATAGGCAGGAAAGGATTTTCCGATCACCTGATAGGCATCCAGATCAGTGCCTATGAAGAAAATGAGGTTAATAGAGGAAGTTCCCCATTGAGGTGCATCCATTGACCTCAGTCATATGTTCTGGAGAAATTATAGAATTTATGGTTAATTCTTCTTTGCTATTCTCAACTACGATGATCTGGTTATACAGTATGTTGTAAAACGAGTTGTGAAATCATTATGTTTAATGATTGACCATCCCAAAGCAAGGGCAAACAGAATATATTTTTGCTCTCTTATTTTACCCTCTTAGAGCTAAGCTACACAAGGTCAAGAAGGCAAAGTCTGCGTCCCAAATAGCACCCTAGTCCCTATAGTGATCTACTTTTGTCTGAGGCCCATAGGTCTCTAGTCAAAGTAGTGTACTATGGCTGCGTTTACACAGCCAGAATAATTCTGATATATTCTTCACTAATTGGTCTTTTGACCAATCAGATCAGCTCTGAAAAAGATCTGACGAAAAATATCTGATGTGATTGGTCAAAAGACCAATTAGTGGAAAAAAATATCAGAATTGGGCTGCCCTTGTACGAAATCAACATAGCCACAGTGATTGAAACTCTTAACCCGCTAATTCAATGGGTGCTGGTAATTCCCTGAACATTGATAAATGTCAATGTTGCTAGAGAAACATTACCAGAAACCGTAGGACATGATCAGAGACCAGATAGGACATGATCAGAGACGAGATAGGACATGATCAGAGACCAGATAGGACATGATCAGAGACCAGATAGGACATGATCAGAGACCAGATAGGACATGTTCAGAAACCAGATAGGACATGATCAGAGACGAGATAGGACATGATCAGAGACGAGATAGGACATGATCAGAGACGAGATAGGACATGTTCAGAAACCAGATAGGACATGATCAGAGATCAGATAGGACATGTTCAGAAACCAGATAGGACATGATCAGAGACGAGATAGGACATGATCAGAGACCAGATAGGACATGATCAGAGACGAGATAGGACATGATCAGAGACGAGATAGGACATGATCAGAGACGAGATAGGACATGATCAGAGACGAGATAGGACATGATCAGAGACCAGATAGGACATGTTCAGAGACCAGATAGGACATGTTCAGAAACCAGATAGGACATGATCAGAGACCAGATAGGACATGATCAGAGACCAGATAGGACATGATCAGAGACCAGATAGGACATGATCAGAGACGAGATAGGACATGTTCAGAAACCAGATAGACATTTTAAAGGACTCTAGGGCTGCGTCTAGATAGGCAGTCTAATTCTGATATTTTGCCAATAATTGGTATTTTTGCTAATAATTGGTATTTTGACCAATCAGATCTTTTGTGCGTAGTTGGGCAAAAGATCCGAATTGGGCTGCATGTGTAAATGCAGCCTAATTCTCCTTAATTGTAGGCTGAATAGTCAGAGGTCATGAGAAACTAGTTTGAATCAGGGTTGGGCTCAATTCAGAATTTTGGAATTGACTCCCATTCAACTCATCAGTTACATTTTTTTATTGAATAGGCCACATCTCACAGGATGTAGAATTTGAATTTAAGTGACAGGAAGTAGAATTTAATTCAGTGCAATTCAAATAAATTCCACTCAGTCATAGCAACACCCACCCGTAGTATACGCTCCAGCAGGTATATCTCACTGGTCATCCCCAAAGCCAACACCTCCTTTGGCCGCCATTCCTTCCAGTTCTCTGCTGCTAATGACTGGAACGAACTGCAAAAATCTCTGAAGCAGGAGACTTATCTCCCTCACTAACTTTAAGCATCAGTTGTCAGAGCAGCTTACCGATCACTGCACCTGTACACAGCCCATCTGTAATTAGCCCACCCAACTACCTCATCCCCATATTGTTATTTATTTTGCTCATTTGCACCCAAGTATCAATTTTTTCACATGACCTTCTGTACATCTATCACTCCAGTGTTAATACTAAATTGTAATTATTTTGCACTATGGCCTATTTATTGCCTTACCTCCATAACTTACTACATTTGCACACACTGTATAGATTTTCTATGAGAGTTTCATTAAATCTGACAGATCACACTTCCAGATACCAAAGAAAATATAACGTTTCTCTGGAAAGTGTTCATATACTCTTTTAACCTTAGTGCTTAGAATAGCCAATTATATATCCACTAACCATTTCATTTGTTTGGCTTTCTTTTGAAGGCCTCAGGGTCAACTTGAGGGTTAAACTAATGCATTCTGGGAAATGTAGTATTTCCCCCATATTGAACAACATTTTTATTTTAATATTAACGAAATATAATAACTTAGAATATTCACATACAGGTTTCGTTTTCCTTGATCATTCATTTTAAGAGCTTGTCCTGGAAATAAAAATGTTCAACAATATTTGATATGCATGTATATAAGATTTTTTTTTTTACATTTTAGTCATTTTAGCAGACACTCTTATCCAGAGCGACTTACAGTTAGTGAGTGCATACATTTTCATACTGGCCCCCCGTGGGAAACGAACCCACAACCCTGGCGTTGCAAGCGCCTTGCTCTACCAACTGAGCTACACGGGGCCCCATGTTTAATGTTTTATGTACAATATGTATATTTGTATAAACTACACCTAATATAGAATAGAAAAAGGCATTGAATTTAATTCAAATTCGAATTGCAATTCTGTATCATTTTCACAAGACTTGAATTTGAATTTATGAGGCATTCTCAATTCAATTCTGAATTGAGCCCAACCTTGGTTTAGAAGAAGAAGAAAA